AATTGACAGGGGGATCAACAATACTTATTTTTCAGTAGTGAGAGTTCAACAACCAGAAGAACAACAACAACCACGACGATGACGACGACGACAACAGCAATCGTTTTAACAATGTTCGCTCTTGTCTGCTCGGGGGCCAGTAACCACCTATATCCCAAACCTTCGATACCTGCCCTATTCGTCTTCGATTGTACCCCCTTAGGGACAGATCTGTCTTACCTGGAACGCGTATTTGGTGCAGCCCCTGCGGCAGGGGAGAAGAGGACGGGTGGAAGAAAGAGACAAGGGGGAGTGAGCAAGATAGAGCACGAGAGAAAGTAGCAGGAGGCGGGCTAGGAGCAGAAAACACGTGGCAGAACCAGACGGGCAGATCGGGCGGGTTGACCCTAACAGGCGGGTCGGGAAGGCGGGCCCAGGCAGTCAGGTCGAGCAGGCGGGTTGCTGACGCGCACGTCCTGCAGGAATCGCGAAAGATTGTCCAGCGATAGCGCGATTCGCAAATACATCGTGAGGAAATCCGCAGCGAGACCGTGATTCCTGAGTGTCGAGGGCGCGGCGTCTGAAACAAGTGTAAGGAAGTCCCACGCGAGAGCGCGATTCTTGAATACTTTGCATGGAAGTCACGCGCGAAAGCGCGATGTGGGAATACATTGTGAGGAAGTATCAGGCGTGAGCCGTTGTTATTGTAAACTGTGCAGGGGCACAGTTTGGTGATACTTCATTTCCCGTGCAAATACCAGGTGCAATCCCCGTGAGAAACATTTTACTTGAAATACAGGAAATGGTTACCGGAGGGGAGATCAGCCATCATTTTGTGGAAAACAATCGAGCCCAATCATGTCAATCATGTTCGCTATTATGCGATCGCGTGCATTTCAAAAGGTGTTCCCCGAATCTTCGTAGCAGCCCTCTTCGTCTTCGATCGTACCCCCTCGTGGAGGTATATCATCTTCACCTGCCGCTCGCAGTTGGCGCATCCATTGCGGCAGGGGAAGAAGAGGAAGAGTGAAGAGACAAGGGGAAGGGATACTGATGGAGCACGAGAGAAATTTCCAGGGGCATGGTCAGGAACAGCAGGACAAGCGGCAGAACCAGCCTGGCGTGTCGGGCGGGTGGGCCTTAACGGGCAGGTCGAGCTGGGGGGCCCAGGAGGCCAGGTCGAGCGGGCGGGTCGCCCAAGCGTCAACCCATCACGAAGGAAGTTTCGAGCGATAGCGCGATTCTTCGGTAAATCGCTGGGAGATCCAACTCAAGAGCGTAATTTGTGATTGTTGGGGGCACGGCGCCGCAATACATTGTGAGCAAGCACCACGTGAGAGCGTGCCTCCTGCATAACTTATGAGGAAGTTCCGCGCGAAAGCGCAGCTTTCAAGTAAACTGTGAGGAAGTATGAGGCGGGAACCGCTGTTGTCATAAACCGGGAGCTAGGGGCGCAGTTTGGTGACCATCGGTTCCTCCTGCTATAAAAACGGGGTGCGAGCCCTGGGAGGAGCACTTGAGTTGAACAAAAAAGAAGTGTCATTGGGGGGGTCTACAGTAATCATTCTGTAGTAATGAGAACGCATCAACAGCAACAACAATAACAACAACAGCAGCAGCAACAACAGCCACAACCGTAGCAACAACAACAACAACAGCAACAGACACCGCACCATCAACAACAACAACAACACCAATCATGTTAAGACTGTTTGCTCTCATCTGCGCGCGTGCCATTCAACACGTATATCCCAAACCCTCGATCCCCGCCCTCTTCGTCTTCGATCGTATTTACTTGGGGGTATATCTTCCTTACCTGCAACGTGTATCTCATGCAGCCCCTGCGGCAGGGAGCAGGCTGGAACACAAGAGAGAAAGTAGCAGGAGGGGGGCTAGGAGCAGAAAACACATGGCATAACCAGACGGGCAGATCGGGCGGGTAGACCCTAACAGGCGGGTCGGGAAGGCGGGCCCAGGCGGCAAGGCCGAGCAGGCGGGTTGCTGAAGCGTGCGTCCTGCATGAATCGCGAGTCTCGAACGATAGCGCGATTCCCAAATCAATCGTGCGATCGACCAAAGCGAGAGCGTGAGTGTCGAGGGCGAGGCGTCTGAATATGTTGCGACGAAGTCCCACGCGAGAGTGCGATTTATGCATAAATTGCGAGGGCGTCCTTCGCGAGAGTGCGATTTTGGGAATAGACCGTCAGGAAGTATCAGGCGGGAGCCGTTGTTGCTGTATCTCGGGAGCCAAGGGCCCAATTCCGAAACCCAAGATTTTCCGGGAAGCCCGCGGTGCGTTGTTGTCAGTGACATCATAATTCAGGCTGATGGATTGTGCAATCGTTGGCATTTTCGGGTGCAGAGCTCCACGTTGGCAGTGGTCCGCGTCCAAAGCAGAAGCATTGGACAAGACGCATTCCGCCATGTTGTCACGGGTGCTGCACAGGAATCCGATCCCAAAGCTGAGTTCTGGCAGCACGTGCACAGAGAGGCACGCATCCTCACGACTTGCCACGGCGCGTGGAGCAAAATCTGGGCCTGGCGATATTTCAGCTGGGAGGCGCACCTCGAGCGCCACCCAGAGCTCTGGCCAGCCCGCGGGTTGAAATCTCATGATTCGGCTTGGCCGAAATCAAGACAGTTGGGGAAAGCTGGCGGAGAGAAAAGCGGGGGAAAGAACAGGAACGATAGAAAAAGTGAGGGAGAGAGGGAGAAGAGAAGGAGAGAGAGAGGACGACGACGACGACGAAGACGACGAGCACGGCGACGAACACGACTACGACGACGACGACGACGGCGGCGGCGGCGACGACGTCGGCGACGACGCCACGCCCCAAGACACGAGCGAGAGCGACGTCGCGCGGAGCAGGCGCGAGAGCGCGAAATCGCATTCAGGGTGTCCAGCAAAAAATACTGCTTAATAATTGCTTCATAGGATTTCATAGGAAGAAATATCGAGCGGGGGCGTCGCTGTTTGTAGGAAAGCAAGGAAGTATCGAGCGGGAGCGCCGATTTGTTGGAAAGTCGGCCTGGGGGGGCGAGCAAGAGCCCGGGCCCCGAGTGAGAAAGGGGGAAACATCGAGCCTGAGCATTGTTGTTGTTGGGGGGCCAGTTTTGGCGCACCCCCGAAACGCTCGAGCGTAAACTTAATTTCCAGGGGAACTGCAGCTGGCGCCCAGGCGAGAGCGCGACACCGCGTTGAGGGTGTGCAACAATAAGAACGTTTAGTACTTCAGGTTCAACAAAAACAGCAACAATAATATTAGTGATCGTAATTAGAATACGAATAGTAGAATAGTAAAGTAGTAATGTCAGTAGTACGCTCATAATGCTACCAACTGTAATACTATTACGAATGCGAACAATGCTAACATACAAATAACAATAACAACCACATAAAAAATGACAACGATACAACAACCTAGCCAACGACAGCAACACCTTCAATAAGTTTAATACGGTTCGATCTTACCAACTCACGTGCCACTCGACGCGTATATCCCAAACCCCCGATGCCCTCCCTCTGCGTCTTCGATCCTACCCCATCGCGGGTACATCTTCTTGGTCTGCCACGCGTAATTGGCGCGACCCCTGAAACAGGGGAAGAGAGGACGATGGAGGGAGGATGGAGCGAGATGGATCACGAGAGAGAGAGAGAGAAAGCGAGAGAGAGAGAGAGAGAGAGAGACAACAAAATGCAGGAAGGGGGGTAGGAGCAGAAAACACGTGGCAGAACCAGACGGGCTGATCGGGCGGGTAGACCCAAACGGGCGGGTCGGGAAGGCGGGCCCAGGCGGCCAGTTCGAGCAGGCGGGTTGCTGAAACATGAGTCCTGCACGAATCGCGGGGACATGCCGAGAGATAGCGCGATTTCAAAACACATCGCGCGAAAAACAGAACGAGATCGAGGGCGCGGCGCTTGAACAAATTGCGAGGACCTCCCGCGCGAGAGCGCGATTTCTGCGTTCATTGTGGGGTGTCCGCTGCGAAAACGCCATGCTGAAATCAACTGCGTGGAAGTATCAGGCGGGAGCCGTTGATCTTGTAGTTCGGGCGCCAGGGGCCCAATCTGAGCCGCAAGCTATCCCCTGGTAGAAAACAGGGTGCGAACCCCAAGAGGTGGAACATTTTAATTGGAAAACACTAGGTGCGACGGGTGTGATCAACAGTATTCTTTTTCATGAAAGGAATGAGAAGTGAATCAGTAAACTCTCGTTTGTGTTAACATGCTCGGATTTGGTTTCACGTGTACATCCCAAGCGCTCGACGCCCGCCCTCTTCGTATTCGATCGCGCACCCCTGAGGGACATATTTTCGTTACCTGCCACGTGTAGTTGGCGCAGCCTTGAAGCAGGCGAGGGGAGAAAAAGGGGAAGAGACAAGGGGGAGGGAAAATGATGGAACACGAGAGGGATTTGCAGGAGGGAGATTAGGACAATGAGGACAAGCGGCAGAACCAGACGGGCGGGTCGGGCAGGGGGACCCTGACGGGCGGGTGGGGCGGGCGGGCCCAAGCGGCGGGGTCAAGCGGGCGGGCAGTTGAAGCGTCAATCCAACATGATTCGCGAGGAAGTTTCGAGAGATAGCGCGATTCTTACGAAAATCGTTCGTTTTTGTATTTAAAGCGAGAGCGTGATTTCTGAGTGTCGAGGCGCAGCGTTTCAATACATCGTAAAGACGTGCCGCGCGAGAGCCCGATTCCTTTAAATATTGTGAGGATGTCCGGCGCGAGAGCGCGATTTTGGAATGATTTGTGGGGAGGGAGCCGCTGTTGTTGTAAACCCGGGGCCTGCAACACAATTTGAAGCCAAGGACTTTTTGCTCATAAAGCGCAGGTTGCGAGCCTTGGGAGGCGCATTTTAATCGAGGCAACACCATGGGCACTGGAGGGGGGGATCAACAATAACGGTTTTTTGTGATTGAGAGCTCGGCGACAGAAATGGGCATCCACGATTCTGGCCTCTCGGGAGCCAGAGGCCCTCGAGGCCCCAGCAGGGGGCACGAGGCGCGGCCGACCCCAGGCGCATGCACGGAGGGGCGCGCCTGGCGGCTCGCGCTGGGGCTCATGGCCGAGGTGGCGGCGGACAGGCCTGCACGGGGGGGGGGGGGGAAGGCCATGGCCCGCGGACGAGGCCCGCGCTTGCGATGGCTCGCTGCGGCCGACGGCCTCGCGAGGTGGGCGATGGCAATGACGACAGTAGTAGTTGTAGCGCGAGTACTCGTCAAAGGTACGAATGAGAATGCGTATCAGACGATAAAGAAGTCACTAGCAGTATGCATACTGGTAAGAACGATCACAAACAATCGCGCTTAGGAGGAATTGCAAACATACGAATAATACGATTGGTAAGGATTTGCGGAGAACGGTAACGTTCATACGATTGTATATATGTGTATATCCACATGTATTTGTATGTATGTGTATATGTAGACATATTGGCCAGAGCACACTCAGTTCTTGCAGTGTGGATGTGCAAGCTTCGTGGTGCAAGCTTTGGGTGTGAGCTTTATGTGGCTCAGTATACGTGGTGCAAAGGGAGGCGGCCACGAGACGGCCACTGGCGGCAACGTGGCGCCACCTCGCCGGACCCAACCAGCACACGCGGCGGCAACGAGGCTGCGGCAACGGGCAGCAAAAGCCAGTACCGTGGCGAACCCTTGCTAGACCCACACAACGCACGAGGCGGCAAAGAGGCGGCAATCTCGCTGGACCCAGCAAGCGCACGAGGCGGCAAGTGGCGGCAACGTAGCGAAATCTTGCTGGGTCTATCTAGCGCACGACGCAGCAGCGAGGTGGCAACGAGGCGGCTACGTGGCGAACACTCGCCAGACCCACACAGCGCAGGAGGCGGCAACGTAGCGAAACCTCGCTGGACCCATTCAATTATTAAGTACCCGAAGAAAGAACTCCAAAGTGCAAGCGCTGTTTGGGAATGGTTATACATACGCACCTATAGGCATATCTATATATATATACATACATATACGTATACATACATATATATGTATATAAATGTATGTATGTGTACATGTACAATACATAAAAACAAGGGGGAAACCTTCACCCACACACACCCAAAACGCAATCACGCTCATGCAGGAGAACTCCTGGGCTTTCCAGGGCTCCTGGAAGCCCCTGCTGGACGCTGCTGGACCTATGCAACAGGCCCAACGTCACCAAGGTCACCATCGCACACTTGGGCATGCCCGTCAGTTCCAATACCACCACCAACACACCAGCATCAACATGACGATATTCATCACCATCCACATAGTCACTGCCGCCAATAGCATCACCATCGACATCATCGTCAACTCAAACGCCCGCATTAACATTACCTTGCTTGCTCTTATGAACGCCATCGCGAATATCATGCCCATCAACACCACCATGTGTTAGCACGCGCGCCGTCATTTTCAACGTCGTCGTCATCACCGGCGCTTGCAACAATATCGACGCAGGCGGGCTCATCGCTGCTGGCAGCAAGGTCAACCCCACTACCATCACATCCAGTTTCATCACAATGATCACCATCAGCACCTGGGCGCACATCCTGCTAAAGATCGCTTTCAACGGGAATCTACTCACCAGCGCCAGCCCCGTCATCATCCGCATCCGCGCCAACATCTCCGCGGACGCCGCTCTCGTCGACGGCCACATCATCCCCAGCACGACGCAAACATCAACCTCGACGCCAACGCCAGGTTTATCCGGCCCGTCGACATTGCAGCCCCTTCGGACGAGGCCACCCCTGCCTCGCCCGCAGCGCAGCGCCGTTGCACGGCAGCCATGGCGGCCTTCTCGGCGCCCTCGTGAATTCGCCAGACGCCCGCGCGCAGGCCGCCTCCGCGGGCGGCCCGCGGCGGCCGCGCTGCTGGCCTCCCCGCGGGCTCGGTGCCCGCGAGCGCGCCGAGGAAGCCTCCTCGGCGCCTCCTCCTCCTCCTCCTCCTCCTCCTCCCTCCTCCTCCCCTGGATCCTCCTCCTCCTCCTCCTCCTCCTCCTCCTCCTCCTCCTCCTCCTCGGGTGTGGAAGCAGCCTCTTTCGGCGCTTTGCGCCGACCGCGGCGGCGGCCCACCGCAAGCCGCAGCGCGCCCCATCGCGATCCAGGCGACTGGCGTCAGGGCCCGCGCGGAGGCGCGGCTCTCAGCCACGACAGGCCGCGCGCGCGCCCGCGAAGCGCGCGGACATCGACGCCGCCGCCCGCCGGCCCGTCGATTTCGCGCGCGAGGAGCTCCGGCGCCGCGCGGAGCTCGCGCGCGCGGAGGCGTGCTGGGACGGCGCCCGCAAGGAGGCAGGCACCAGGCTGCCCGTTGGCGCGGCGGTTACCGGATGAGCGGCGTGCCGCCGCGGCGGTGACGAGGCGCGCGACGGACGCCGCCACGCGGCGCGCAACCTTTCCAAGGGTCACGCTGGGGAAGGGGTCGCGACCGCGTCCCGCGAGAAGCACGGGGCGAAGCTGAACGCCGCGGCTCTCGAAGGGCACTGCGGCGCGCGCTCGCGCCTGACGCTCCCAACCGCAAGGGGGGCCTCGGCTGGGGTTGGATGCGAAACTCTATGGGGCCCGCTCCACCCAATGCGAGGCGCAGCGTTCCATATTCGGCTTCCCGGAGAAAAGGAAGCAGGGGGGGCGCAAAAGAAAAGTGACGAGGCCGCCACCCAGGGATTGTAGTTGTGAGGCCTCCAGAAAATAGTTTTCTTTAAGCCCAAAGCAAACGTTTGTAGAGCCGCAACATGTGCAAAACTTAGAATGAGACAGCTCTCCATCTCCTCATCGTCGTTGTCCTCCAACTCGCTCCGTTCCCCTCCCCGTCCTTCTTCTCCTCCCTCTTTCTGAACCTCACATATATACACATATAAATATAATGTACTGGTTATGTGTCTGTTTAGGGATCGGGCGACGGGATGAAACGGAGAGAGGTTGCCATGTGTATGTATGTAAGCATGCACACATACAGTGTGTACATATATGTATACATAGATATACAGTCATGCGCACGTACATATATTCGCAGCTACAATATTCATATTTATATACATGCATACATACATACATACCTACCTACCTACCTACCTACCTACCTACCTACATACATACATACATACATACATACATACATACATACACACATACATATACGCATCTACATACAAGACTGCATTGGCGCTTCGAGCCGTGCACCTTGGTCCTTGAGGCTTTGCATATGATGGTCGTTAGCGCCATCCCTAGTGGCCTTGGAAATTTGGCCTCTTCCCTGCAGTGGTTTTCGGAAGTCTTCGAAAGTTCGGGAGGTCCCTGGCCCTTCCGGGCCTCCGGGGGCTCCCGAAAGACGCCGGGTGGAGGGCGAAGGATAGGGGGGAGGGAATCTCGGGGAGCGAGGACAGGGAAGCGGATGTGGGGGAGGACGAGTGGTGGAGCGGCAGGAAGAGGAAGAGGAGGAGGAGGAGGAAGAGGGGAGGAGGAGAAGGATCCAGGGGAGGAGCAAGAGGAGGGAAAGAGATGGTGCCGTCGAAGGGTTCATGTGGACGTAAACGCTTGCAGAAATGTCGGGCAGTGAATAACAGCAAAAGGCCTTCGTAGGCCCGCACATTGGCCTGCTCGTGGCTCAGGTGCCCTGGTGCGCAATGCGAAGGAATGGCAAACCATGCGAATGAATGCCAAGCAAACCGACGCAATGTCAAGCATTGCCGCAAAGCGCAGAGCAATGCCAAGCCGAGGATGTCATGTTACAGTGGGTCGCAACGGGGCACGCGAAAAAGACAATTATTGGGGAATTTACCGAATACAGGGTTTGCAACTGATTCCGGGACATGTGGTTGCGAACCCAGGATTCGGCCAGTTTGGTGGAACACGCTTTGTGGGCATTTTTGAAGCCCTGGTGGGCCGGTTTGGAGCCCTCTTGAGCCGTCCTGGGGCCATTTTGGGCCGCGTTGGGGAGCTTGGACCCTCTAGGGACGTAACGGGGGCTACGTGGGCCCTCCCAGTGGCCTCCCATGGCCTTTTCGGTGGCCTCTCATGGCCTTCTTGGGCTTCTCTTGGGGGCCTTGTGAGGGCATGTTGAGTTTTTTGTTGGCTCGTTACGCTTCTTTGGTCAGCCCAGGCCGTCTAGACGCTCTCTTGGGGGTCTCTTGGGCCGTCTTGGGGCGATACCAGAGGCCTTCTTAGTTGTCATGGACGCTGCTAAGACCCGAACAGCGAACATGCTGAAAATGCACATTCCCTTGAGGGAAAGAAGCGATTTCTGCGTTCTGGGAGTCCTGTTGAAGGCCTCCTGGGCCGTCTTGGGTGCCTGGAGACCATCTGCGTCATTCTTGCAGCGCTCTCGTGCTGTCTTGGGTCTCTCCCCGGCCTTTCTGATCACCGCTCTGATCGCTTGGGGTCTGCTGGAAACCCGGCTGAGCGCCCTGGGAGGTCCGGGACGAGCTCGGCAACGGTGTCCTGGGGGCCCGTGGGGGTCCGGTTTTGGGGGGAGTCCCACCCCCCCAGCTTGTAAAATTAGAAACAACAAATAATGCATACATGAGCTCTCGCCCAAGGCTGCCCGTCTTCGGGCAGCATGTGGGCCATCGCGATGAACCTTTTCATCCACCACATGATGCGCTACACGGACAGGAGCCCCGTCTCAGCTCTTGGGGCGTGCGCTGATGACGTGGGCTGTGCGCTCCAGTCCCGCAGGCTCCTCCTCGGCCTCTGGAGAGAGTTCGAGGCGGCGCGAACGCTGGCGGGACTGCAGCTAAAGTTCCACAAGTACACCCTGATCCCGCTGGACGCCGAGTTCTCGGACGGCGCCGTGTGCGAGCTGCGCGCCTGGCTCCTGGATCACCTACCTGCGTGGTCGGGCATGTCCATCCAGGACAAGGCCGAGCACCTCGGGTTCGTCATTGGCCCTGGCGCGCGGGAGGCGGATGTCTGGAGGAAGGCGGCGGCGAAGTGGTTCGCGCTGGTGATGGACCTCGCCTCCTGTGGGGCGCCCCCGCCCTTCGCCGCGCGCCTGTACAAGCAGCGCGTCCTTCCCGTGCTTGGCTACCTGCAGCAGCTGGTGGCCACACCCGCGTCTCTGCGTGCCAAGGAGGCGTGGGCTTGCCCGAAGGTCTGGAGTTTGCCTCCTCAGGCGCTGGCCTGCCACGACGTCCTGTCGGTGTGCTGCTGGGCGCCTGGCCTGCGGCTTCGCTCCATGGCGGCGAGTGGCACGGCTTCGTCGATGCGAGCTGCTCACGTCACCGTCACCAACTGGAAACAGCTGCGCGGATGGTTGGCTGAGCAGGCTTCGGAGCACGGCACGCTCCAGGCCATCGGCGAGCAGAACTTGTCGCCGACGCTCTGGTGCTCCAAGCCGTTCGTGCTGGGCCTCGCCGAGGCCGAGGCGGGATTCGTGAATGAGGCTGCGCTCGTGCGCCCCGCGGCCTCCGCGCGGCAGGCCCTCCGCGGCGCTTAGGCGGAGAGCGAAGGCGCGCGGGCGCGTGTGCAGAAAGTGTTGTCCGCATCTCTCCATGCCTCCCTCTTTCCTGATGTCCTCCACCTCCTCCTGGCGCGGCGTCAGAGATCCTGGGGGGCTCGAGGTCCTTTGCGAATCGTGGCCCCCGCTTCGAGCTGCCCTCTCAAAGCTCGTCCCGTCCTGGCAAAGTGCTGCATTTAAGAAGATCTCGGGGGCCTGGCGTACCTCCGCCAGGCTCCACGCCCAGGATTTGGTCAAGCCGTGTCGGTTCAGATGTCGCGAATGTCCTCTCATCCCCGCTCGCGACACCTTTTCCCACCACCTGCAATGCGAGGTCCTGTGGAATCTAGCCTACCCACGAGGGGTCCAGGTGCCGTTTTGTCTGTCCTCGAGGATCGGTCTCGGTGGATCTCCCATTGCCGTGGAGATCGAGGCGATTGTTATGGCTTATGATTTGCACAACACCGTCAACACCGTTCGTGTTCTCCCGCAGCCGCCCAACGTGGATGGGTGGGCCGATCAACTTACAGAAATTCGGAGGGCGGCGTTTGCCCTTGTTGAGCTCACTCGGATGCCCGAGTGGGTCCACTGGGCCCTTTCCGATTACGAGCGACATACATACACAAACACATTCACATATACATATCTACAAACATACACACATACACATACTTACGTACATACATACATACAGCCGTGCCTGCTTGCCTGCCTACCTTCCTACCTACCTACAGGCATACATACATACACACATACGTACGCACACACAAACATACATACACACGTACACGCATGCATGCATAATCACATGCATGTGCGCATACAGACTCCACCACATACATACATGGATGCATGCAGGCAGGCATACATGCATGCGAACAAACATACATTCATTCATACACACATGAATTTATGCATCTGTACATATGCAGGGGTAGTGAGAGATGATGAGGAGGAAGAGGAAGAGGGATAGGGAGAAAGAGAGAGAGAGAGAGAGAGTGCCAGAACGAGAGAGAAAGAAAGAGAGCGAACAATGCTGCCCGCTCATTCTCTAGGGGTTGAGGGGGAACACAGGGCAACCAGATTGGCTGACACGTGTCGCAGCGCAGCTCGCCAGTGTGCCAGGGCCACCCTTTCTTGCAAGGTGGCCCGAGCGCACGCGTTTGAAGGCTCCGCCCAAGTGAAGGCAACTACTGGGGTCGCCGGGTTGCATTCGGGTGCGTTGGGAGGCAAGAAGCAGAAGCAGAAGCAGAAGCAGACGAGACAACTATTACTCACACGAAGAAGGCGAAGGAGGAGGAGGAGGATAATACTAAGGATGATGAGGAGGGTGATGGGTGAAGGAAGTGGGGCAAGGATATTTAGCGAGTCGTGCTGCATGGTGCTAGTGCGTCCCGAGGACATGATTTCAACTGTTTGCAGCTATAATCCATTTACTGTCGGACCGATCACGTACGACCGATGTGCATCATGCAGAGAAGGTATGCAAGCTGCGCGTGTGACGCCAGGGACGTCCGAATGTTTGGGACAAGTGTACATAGTCGCACGTCCGCCGAATTACGATACGCAGATCGGGAAGACCAGCGCCACAGTCGAGGTCGTGCGTGCGCGCGCGCCGTCGCAGACACATCTCTGCACCACCGCCCATGTGAGGCGCCTCGACGCGATCGCTTGCAACGCCGCCATCGCTGCATGCGAGAAAGGCAGCCGCTGGCAGCAGGCCCTTGCGCATTGCGCGGCGGTGGTTGCAGCGTCGTGGGGAGGGTATGGCTGGAGCGGGCCATGGCGAGGTTGAGGTTAAAGCCGGGGGTAACCCTGCGTTTTTTTCTGGCTTCATCCTCCTCCCCCCCAGCAGCTGATCAATGGCCTTACGAGGGCGGCTCTGGAAGGCCAGCCATGGGGACGTATCGGAGCCACCTTGGGGCTCTCCAGGGAACCTAAGGACCGCTTGGGCACAGTCGGGGGGCAAAGGTGGTTGGGAGGCCAACCAGAGGGGGGTATGACATTTCCAGGGTGTGGAGACAAGCATATTTAACATGACACCAGCTCCTATGATGACAGTTCTCCTGAGGCCTGCTGGTGGGCTTCAGAAGGGGGCCTTAGGGGGTCCAGGGAGCCCGTCGAGCAGTTAAGGAGTGCTCTGTGGCCTTCTAAGAGCGCCGTGCCGCGATTTGGGAACGAACTCCACATGCGGCCACGGCGTGAAGGGATGTGAAGGGACGAGGGTTTCGGAGAACTCTGTGGACGAGTTCCCCTGCGCTCGTGCATCTCGCGTGCGCTTCAACAACGCAGCGCCGCTTGTGCCGCTCTCACTGGCCAGGTCTTCCCTCTCCTTCGCCTGCTCCTCGGTTTCCTCCTTTTCCTCCTCGTCCTCCTCCTCCTCCTCCTCCCACTCCTCCTCCTCCTCCTCCTCCTCCTCCTCCTCCTCCTCCTCCTCCTCCTCCTCCTCCTCCTCCCTCCTCCTCCTCCTCCTCCTCCTCCTCCTCCTCCTCCTCCTCCTCCTCCTCCTCCTCCCCATCCTCCTCATCCTCCTCATCCTCCTCATCCTCCTCCTCCGCCCTCCGCCCTCCTCCTCCTCCTCCTCCTCCTCCTCCTCCTCCTCCTCCTCCTCCTCCTCCTCTCCCCCCTCGCCCTCTCTTTCTTACCGTTGAGAAATGGAGACGATGACCCTCTTTGCCCTCTTGATTAAACTTGTTCGTGCACAGACGGGTTCCTGTGCATCGCTTCCTCCGGTCGATGCTGACAGAGCCAGCGAGCCGTCAGGCGACCTCGCTGGAGAAACAAACATCTGCTAGTGCATCTCTTTGGTGGCGTCTTCGGGGACCTGGGGCCCTAGCTCGCTCAAAGAATCCCCACCTGTCCAATGGGGGGGGGTGGGGGGTTCGAACCGGGGGGAAGCCCCCTCCCCCCCTGAGTTGCAAGGGGGGGGAGAGATCGAACAGGGGCGGAGGAGGGCCCCATGTCTAGGAGGGGCGGTCGGGGGGGAGGGGTTCGAACGGGGCGGGGGGAGGGCCTTGAGTTGAAATGCGGGGGTAGGGGTCGAACCGAAGGGGGGGGGCCCTTGAGCAAGGGGTCGAACACCCACCCTGGAATGTCAGCTGAAAGAATGCCCACCTGGCTCGCTCTCGCCTGCCGTCGGGCGCCCTGCTCCGAGGGGTCCTCGGAGGCGGCGGCCGAACACAGACCCACACGCTGGCGTCGGCCGATCGGGAGATGGAGGGGGGCAGTCCTCCCTTCCCCTCCCTTCACCCTCTCTTCCCCTTCCACTCTTCCCCTCTCTGTACCCTCCCTCCTCCTCCTCCTCCTCCTCCTCCTCCTCCTCCTCTTCCTCCTCCTCCTCCCCCTCCTCCTCCTCCTCCCCTCCTCCTCTCCTCCTCCTCCTCTCCTCCTCCTCCTCCTCCTCCTCCTCCTCTCTCCTCCCTCCTCCTCCTCCTCCTCCTCCCTCCCTCCCTCCTCCTCCTTTCCCCTCTCCTCCTTTTCCGTTTCCTCCTCCTCCCCATCCTCCTCTTCCTCTTCCATTCCTCCTCCTTATAAATAATTTCTCCCTGTCGCACCCCGAGGCCAGTTGTTAGGGTGGGGCCAGCGTTTCTCCAGATACTTCCTCACAATGTATGACCCAGAAGCTTCAAAAAAGGCAGCAGCTTCACAGATGGAGGGCGGGTGGTTTTCAAAATGTGGCTCTCGCCTTAGCGCCGCGCACATTCGTTCTAAACATTGTCAAGAATTTCACGGATTGAGGGCCACGCGTTTTCAAAATGTAGTTCTCGCCGTAGCGCCGCGCACATTCGTTCAAACAAAGATGTAAGAGTTTCACGGAATGAGGGCCACCTGTTTTCAAAATGTGGCTCTCGCCGTAGCGCCGTGCACATTCATTATAAAAAGTTATAGGAGTTTCACGGGTTGAAGGCCACCCGCTTTCAAAATGTGGCTCTCGCCTTATCGCCGTACACATTCGTGCGTAAACAATGCAAGAATTTCACGGATTGAGGGTGGTTCTTTTCAGAATGTGGTTATCGCTTCAGCGCCGCGTACATTCCTTTGTTTAAGAAACTGCAAGAGTTTCCCGGATTCCCATGATCAACGTACCAGAAATGGTGGTTTGGAAGGATTATGGACGATGAGGGTGCAATAGTTACGTTGATTCGCGGTGCTGAAGTCCTAGGAATGGCGTTCTGGCACGAATCAGGATCTTCAAGACGAAATAGTCAGGGTGATCCGTGGCGCTGGAATCCCGAGAACAGTGTTTTGCCATGCTTCCGAGTCTTCAAACGGTTGCCTCCCAACAAGGCAGTTCCCTCAGTGGAAATGAAACCTTGTAGGGGCCTACGAAGAGGGAGCTTGGAGGGAGGGTTATTCCAATGCCGCTGATGATTCTGGGGTTTACACTGGTCCTCCTTCTCCCTCCTCCTCCCTCCTCCTCCTCCTCGCCCTCCCTGTTTCTTCCTGTTGAGAGACGACGGCATCCGCAATGAGCCCGTCGGGCAACGTAGCGCTGGCAGCAGGACGAGCAGGAGCAGCAGCAGGAACAGCACGTAGCAGCAGGAGCAGCAGCTGTAGAGGATCGTCCTATTCGCGGCCGCGGACATGGACCTCCTCTCCCTTGGCTGTGCGTCCACCGCGACCGAGTCCCTGGTCGCGTGGGGGCTCGTCGCTGGCGGCGGCGGCGCAACATCTGGAGGGTGAGG